AATTATCATTCGGCTTATTTGTTTCATTTCCAGCTTGTGCATGTTCATACATCAAAGGAATAACAACTGTATAGAATAAATCAGAGGCCGATATACAAAAACTGAATCAGCAACTTTCTTACTTCTCAGGATATTCCAATATCCTTCATTGGATAATCGCAAAAGCAAAGCTGCTTCAGTGAAATTATTATCAGTAATATTTGAACATGCTCTTGGCATTTCCGGCAAAATTAAATTCCTAGTGCACTTTAGCATCCAAATAGAGTCTCGGTGCTGCCATCTAGTGTGACAGAAACTAGACGTCCAAATTAACATGACCATCGGTATCTCACCCATTGTGGTGGTCCTGAAAGAGTGGATACCACCTCTGGAGAACGCACTAGGTCTGCTAATCTGCAAGACCGATAGCGCGGCTCATTGGAAATAAGAAAATATTTGAACATATTCTATGCAAGCATTACACTCAATGCTCAAGCACTCATTCGATAGTTGTGGTTCTGTCGCGTTGAAATAAATTTATACCATGAGAAATGCTTAATGATACAAACGTATAATTCAAAATACTCTGGAAATAAGTGAATGTCAGATCTTTTTTTTCTATAAGATAATATCTGAAACAAATTTGTGAAAGCATAGCTCTGTCCAACATAAAAATACCTATTAACGTGAATAGCGAAAATAAATTTTCTCTTATTTCGTTTCGAATGCTATTAGAACCAAATTCTTAGTGTTGGAATGGGTCGAAATTTAACGTGCCATCTAGCGTGAATGATCCCTTTGTTTTTCCGAGTAACTAGTAGTCTCTGAAATCAAAGATGCTCAGTCAGACTAAATTTTAGTAACGAACATAGGATAATGGTTACTATTAAATTTAGCTAAATGTAATCAAAATTTGTTAATAATATCAAATTATTTAAGAAGATTTAACTTCTAAAAATTGCTAAGTGATTATTTCTAACAAAATTCATCAGACTACGACTCTTAATTTATAATTAATCCTGAAAATATGTAAATGTATAGTTAAAATTTAAAAAATAAAAAATTAATACTTTAAAAAATGTTTTTGTCGAGAGAGCAACGTTTGCCAGCTCATGTTTAGAATAATTTTTAAGGAGAGTATATATTGGTTATAATTAATAAGCTAAGTCACCAAGCTAGAGTAAAATGATAAGATGAATTAAAAAAGTGCGATAAATGCAAACTTATTGGTAAGTACTTTTCTTGCTAAGTACTATGTTAAAAATCCGATTGATAGTTAAACCACACAATTGCTCACATTCTTTTCAACGCTAATAACGAGTAAAAGGACATATATAAAAGTGAGAACATAGCATAATTATATAAAAAAGGATATATTTTTTTCGGATATTAAGTTTATAACATTTAACAGTTAAGATTTCAAATGAATTGAATTTAAAGTAGCTTTTAGAAGTTTAGGTAAAATTTTCCAAACACGGCTCACTTCAAAACAATAATTTTTAAAGTTTGCACTTATATGCAGTTATTTAGCTAGATTTACTCTTTGATCTTAAGAATAACTCTTTGATCTAAAATTTAGATCAAAGAGTTATTCATCATTAAAATTTCGTTAATTTATAAAATTAATTATTGATATATTCTTGAAAATGAATGAAAATGTTTTTTCAAACCACTTTATTTAGATTTTATATTTCAGTTCAAATACAATTCCGATAATGTAACAGATTTTGTTTAACAACTATTAGATTGTTTCTTATAATTCAAAATTATCAAATTTATGTTTTTTTGCTTGTAATTAAAGCGTCAGAAAAAATATATTAAAGGGACGCCGGTGTCTCAACCGCATCAAAGGGTTGAGATATTTGTTTCTGCTGAATGACTTCATCGTGTTAAACATTGCTACTCTGATAGACTCAGGATGAGCAGTTGAAACAGTTTTTTTCCCAGAATAAACTGTAAACCACGAAGATTTAGGCCTGTTAATCTGCCACACTTAGATCAAGTTACTATTTGTTCCTTTCCCTTCTTTTATAAAAAGTGTGTAAGAAATAAATAGTTTAAATTATATGGAACAACTGTCCCGCACGTGGCAGAAAAGATAAAAATATTCTCGAATAATGCAAACATGTTTTCAAAAGTTTCAGTTAGATTTCATTTTCGCAAATATTTGAAATTAATCACTTTTAATGGAGTAAGAAAATGTTTTATCTCTACTATATTGACTGATAACGAAATTTCATTTTTTCCCTTACCAAACTGACTTACGAAACTGAAGAATAAAAGATTTTGTTTGCACCGTTGTAAGACATTGTGTAGGATAATAATTTGGAATTTCTTTGAAATAGGAAATATATGCTTTGATAACTGAAAAAAAGTTATACTTATTATTTTAAAAAAACTAATTTAATTTATAAAATTTTTTGTTTTTGTCATTTTTAAAAAGTAAGTATGCTGAATTATGTATCACAATATCATTCTATCATTTCTATTCACTATTATCTATCTGTATCATCACTGTTTACTTTATTCACTATATTGCTATATCCTCACTATATCACTATAATATTCTCCCTATATCATTCAATTGAGTCATAAACCGTTGTCGTTATTCATTATTATATACCTGTATCACTACTTTTCATTATTAATCTGTATCATTATTCACTATCAATATCTATCACTATATTAACTATTAATATCATCATTATTTATTTTATTCATTATATCGCTATATCCTCTCTATGTCATTATAGTATCCTCAATATATTCTTCAGTTGAGTGTTAAACCGTCATCATTAATCATTATCATCAACCTATATATCACCACCATTAATTATAATTACAATCAATATAATCATTATATACTTTATTCACTACATCACTATATCCTCACTATATCATTCAGTTGAGTCATATATAACTTGCGCATTGAAAGTATGCTCAAAAAATGCGTTATACTTTATGCATCATTGGAAGTGTTTTACTTAATTTTTCACTTCATTCATACTTATGCAGATTATGCATGTTATGCTTTGATCATAATTTTATGATTATCCGAGCTATAATGTCTAACAAATGTTTCGAACGAAAAAATAATTTTACAGTCTGTTTTTAAGCTGGTGCAATTATTCATTTTTTGCGACGAAAGAGAGGGACGTAAGAGGTTAAATCCCCCTAATAATAATTTTTCAGAACTTCAGAAATTAGGGCTCTCGATTCCTGAAGTGTCTATATTAGTTGGTTGAATCAAAAATACTTCGATTTCTTTAAAAATTGGAAAAAATTAGTCCTTTCCTGCATCTATCAATAATAGTTAATTCATATTTAGAAGCTTTTACTCGCTTAGCTTAAAAAATAAAGGTGAACATTAATAATTTTGAATACAATTATCAAATATTTTCCATTCTCCAAATTTGGTAAATTGTTTTAGGCCTTTACTTTAAATTTTTATATTTAATTCTCTTGCTTGCATTTTATTCAATTAGTTAATTTCAAACTTCTGCATTTTATTTACAATTTCTTAATGGAATAGTTGGATAAGAAAATTTCTACGTCATTTTTTTAAATTTTTTTTATTCACTGTACATTATAAGCTCGATGATTATTCAAATAAGCAATTCGCTTGAATCTTACAGGTGAAACATAAGAAAGTATTTACACATGGAAATAACAGCTAAGCTCGAATATCTGAAACAATTTACACAATACTAGTTAAGTTTGAAATAATTACATATTTTAACAACATAAACGGTGAAAGCAAATTGGTTACATTAAAATTATGTTTTCAGTTCCTGACAGTATATAATATCGTAAATAGAATAAATTTCTGCTCAAAATTGTTCTGATAAATTAAATGTAGCGAAAAAGAAAAATATTCTAAAGAAGATAATCAAAATAACATGTAGTTTTGAGAACAGTTTTTTTTCTGCAGCGAAGCAAATCAATAAAACTAAATTCTCACGAAACCAACAAAATTATGAATAAAAAATAATATTTTGTCAGTTAGAATAATCCGAAATTCCTTAACACGGATGCAATTTTTATCCAAATTTTTATGATGAAGCTGTGAAATAAATAAACTTGATTTGTTTGAAGAAGTGGCATACCTTTTTCAAAATGAAGCAAATTAACAAAAATAAAATTCAAACTAACATGGCAGAAAAAAAATCGTGCTAGAGATGAATTAAATCATTTTTTTAATAATATAAATCCATTTTTCTAGCCATATTTTAAGAATTAAATGGAATAAACATTTTATGCCTCTTAAACAATTTTAACGAATTAAAGACAGGACCAGCTAAAAAGAGACACGCGCTGAAGTTGAACTTGCAAGGTTTCAATAACACTCTTGCGTGTTTCAATGGCGTGCATCGCGGCGTTCTAAAGAAAAGGAATCGATACATTCTGAACTACAGTTAAACATGTTGCTCAAAAAACGTCAAAAAAATAAAAAATTCATTTATTTGGGGATATCAGACGTGTGTTTGAAAAGGAAAAGTGCTCAAAAAGACATCGCATATTGGTAAGTATGAAAGCTATTTATGAGAATAATGCTACTCAAACATTATTAATATACTATATAAAGTTTTTTGCACCTAGAATCCGGAGTTCTGAATGGGTTTAGAATCTATCCCTGATATATAGAATTTTTTAATATTATCAAATATATTTTGGAAGTGTTGGTTTGTTGTTCCTGAGCATATAGGAACAGAATTTCGATAAAACATTATTTTCGGCTTCAAAATAATTTCAATTTAAGACATTTTAATTAAAAAATCCCTCCTTATGTCAGGTTCCTATAAGACAGCAGTTTAAAAATTTCACTATTTTCCTGTAAGCTCTATCTTAAGAAATTCAATCTCTATGAAAACTTTCTATAAGTTAACAGCGAAGAAATTCCTTTTCGATGTAAAGTTCATATAACCCAGCAATGAAAAAAATTCCATTTTCATGTAACGTTTCTATAAGTCAACAGTTTAAAAGAAATTCATTACTTTGAAAATTTCATATACGTTAAAAGTACGAAATTCCGTTTCTATGCAAAGTTTCTATAAATCAACAGTTAAATTTTATTCATATGCATAGTTTCTATTAGCCGACAACGAATAAATCCATTTCTATGCAAAGTTTTTATAATAAGTCAACAGCAAAGAAATTCCATTTCATTGAAATTTTGTACGTTGTTGTACGTCAACTGTAAAAAAAATTTCACTCTTACCTAAAGTTCATGTAAATCAATGGTTTTTGCTGAAGTGGTACGGAAACTATTTAAGAACCACTTCAGTTGAAATTCTTTCAACGTATTTATTATTTTATTTTTTGATGTCAGTAACTACAGTATTTTAAAAGATCACGTAAAAAGTGTGCAAAAAAAAGTTCTATGCGTTAATGCTACATGGTAGTAAAACGGTAGCTAAATTTTAGATTTCCTTGCTTCACAAAACTGTAAAGATAGGTTTCGCAAACTTTGCATTTTCATGAAAGCTTATACATTCGGTAAATTAATAAAAAAAGAATTCGTCATGAATAACATTTGATCTAATGATCGTAATTTTGCTCACCAAGAATCAGTTTCAACCATCAAGGTCCAAATGAAGTATTTTTCTTAATAAACCCTTTTTGTTTTTGACAGATTTTAATTTTTGACCCTCAACATTTGAATAGTAGTCGCAATTTCGAAAATGTGGTCCAGACAGCTTATAGTCAAGCAGATGATCGGAAGTTTTAACACCTTAATGATGTTTGTGTGTATGCCCCGTTTTCGGAACCAATTGCTTGAATTAAAAAGAAATTGAGAATATAGCGTGCCTAAGTATGATTTTTCGCTGAAAGTAATGTCTAATAAACACATATTTTTTCCGATATTTATTTTAATAATCAATGAAAGACTATCATATTGCAAGATTTAAAGATTATCAACTTTAACAATGACAATATTTTATAATAAAATTCAAAATTTGAAAACAGCTCGAATAGTTTCCGAGAAAAAAAATTTAAATGCTGCTTTTTCACACTTAGTGTACTGTAATAGTTGCATACATTTAAGCGTTTGTAAATGCAAACTTTATTTATTTCAGACAGAAAAATGAATTTAGCCGTCGTTCTTATTACTTGTGTTGTCATATACTCAGTACAAGGAGGTTGTCCATCAGGTACTTGTTCTGAAAGTATGTACGCATTATTATAATCATTTAGTTGGCAATGTATTATCAACATAGCATATAGTTTACTTTTTATTTCAGTCTATACAGTTTGAGCCTACTTAAATGTAAACGTATTTGCATAATTTTGTTTTTTTAAACTGATCGAAAGGGATTCAAATTACTCCATAGAAATGAAAGTCTGTATTACTCTTTGAATTACATTTATCCATCAAAAGATTCATTTCATATTGAGCGAACAAATTTTTGAATCAATTACGTGAATAAATGAATTAATATTGCGAATATCTAGTTATGCATATCTATTATCAGGAAAATGAATTACTTTAATCATATGATATTCAATTAATTTATACTTAAATAGTCAGATTATCTGTAAATAATATATAATAAAACTAAGACCTTATTTCAGTAATGGATTAATACTATTTTTTAAAGTATAGAGCCTTACATTATTATTTTACAAATTTTTTTTTCTAATCTCTCATTCTATATATACTGTGGGTGAGGAGAAATTTTTTTTTAAAAACATATATGGGTATAATTGATTGACCTTATTCACTGTTAGAAATGTTTTTGTAGAAATGGCTAAATAGCAATTTATTTAATTGTTATTTTACCATATTCAAACAAAACAGTCAAATAACAATGGAAAATTAATTATATTAAAATTCTTTGTGAGAAAAAAAGTTTATTGTTTGTTTTTTCCTAATACATTTAAATAATCAGAATTTTATCTGTGAAACTAGTCTCCCTTATAAAGCCGTTTTGTTCTGTGCAGTTGGGTACATACTCTAGATAAGAGGGCTAATCGGTCAATCTCATGCCCAGCTGATTGGGGAATCGAGTCTCAGTGATGATTAGGACTGGGCTATAAATCGATGCATCGAGACTTATCGATTTAACGCATATATCGGTAAGACAATACAGCGACTTTCATTCAAGGCGATGCATCAGAAATCTGATTTAAGCCGTCGAGTAAAGACAACGAGCGCAAAACGATATAGCGATATAAGACACGCAAGGATATAAGAAAACGATATAGCGATATAAGACTCTTCCGTTACGATNTTGATTTGTTGTCCCTGAGCATATAGGAATAGAATTTCGATAAAACATTATTTTCGGCTTCAATAAAATTTCAATTTAAGACATTTTAATAAAATAAATTTAACCCTCCCTATGTCAGGTTCCCATGCGACAGCAGTTTAAAAATTTCACTATTTTCCTGTAAGCTCTACCTTAAGATATTCAATCTCTATGTAAACTTTCTATAAGTTAACAGCGAAGAAATTCCATTTCGATGTAAAGTTCATCTAACCCAACAATGAAAAAATTTCCATTTTCATGTAACGTTTCTATAAGTCAACAGTTTAAAAGAAATTCATTACTTTGAAAATTTCATATAAGTTAAAAGTACAAAATTCCTTTTCTATGCAAGGTTTCTATAAATCAACAGAAAATTTTATTCATATGCATAGTTTCTATTAGCCGACAACGAAAAAATCCATTTCTATGCAAAGTTTTTATAATAAGTCAACAGCAAAGAAATTCCATTTCAATGAAATTTCGTATGTTGTTGTAAGTCAACTGTGAAAAAAATTTCACTCTTACCTAAAGTTCATGTAAATCAATGCTTTTTGCTGAAGTGGTACGAAAACTTTTTAAGAACCACTTCAGTTGAAATTCTTTCAAAACGTATTTATTATTTTATTTTTTGATGTCAGTAACTACAGTATTTTAAGATCACGTAAAAAGTGTGCAAAAAAAAAATTCTATGTGTTAATGCGACATGGTAGTAAAACGGAAGCTAAATTTTAGATTTCCTTGCTTCACAAAACTGTAAAGATAGGTTTCGCAAACTTTGCATTTTCATAAAAGCTAATACATTCGGTAAATTAATAAAAAAAGACTTCATCATGAATAACTTTTGATCTAATGATCGTAATTCTGCTCACCAAGAATCAGTTTCAACCATCTAGGTCCAAATGAAGTATTTTTCTTAATAAGCCCTTTTTGTTTTTGACAGATTTTAACACTTGAACCCCCAACATTTGAATGGTAGTCGCAATTTCGAAAATGTGGTCCAGACAGCTTACGGTCAAGCAGATTATCAGAAGTTTTAACACCTTTTAATGATGTTTGTGTGATCTTTGGAACCAATTGCTTGAATTAAAAAAAAATTGAGAATACAGCGTGCCTAAGTATGATTTCTCGCTGAAAATAATGTCTAATAAACACATATTTTTTCCGATATTTATTTTAATAATCAATGAAAGACTATTATGTTGCAAGATTTAAAGATTATCAACTTTAACAATGACAATTTTTTATAATAAAATTCAAAATTCGAAAATAGCTCGAATAGTTTCCGAGAAAAAAAAAATTAAATACTGCTTTTTCACACTTAGTGCACTGTAATAGTTGCATATAGTTAAGCATTTGTAAATGCAAACTTTATTTATTTCAGACAGAAAAATGAATATTGGCGTCGTTCTTATTACTTGTGCTGTTATATACTCAGTGCAAGGAGGTTGTCCATCAGGTACTTGTTCTGAAAGTATGTACGCATTATTATCCTCATTTAGTTGGCAATGTATTATCAACATAACTTATAGTGTACTTTTTATTTCAGTCTATACAGTTTGTGCCTATTTAAATGTGAACGTAATTTTTTTAAAAAACTGATCAAAAGTGAATCAAATTACTCCATTGAAATGAAAGTCTGTATTACTCTTTGAATTACATTTATCCATCAAAAGATTCATTTCATATGAACGAACAAATTTTGAATAAATTACTTGAACAAATGAATTAATATTGTGAATATCTAGTTATGCATATCTATTATCAGGAAAATGAATTACTTTAATCATATGATATTCAATTAATTTATACTTAAATAGTCATATTATTTGTAAATAATATATAAAACTAAGACCTTATTTCAGTAGTGGACTAATACTATTTTTTGAGGTATAGAGCCTTACAGTATTATTTTACAACATTCTTTTTCTAATCTTTCATTCTATATATACTGTGGGTGAAAAGAAAAAAAAACTTTAATATAATTGATTGACCTTATTCACTGTTAGAAATTTTTTGGTAGAAATGGATAAATAGCAATTTATTTAATATTATTCTACCATATTCAACCAAAACAGTCAAATAACAATAGAAAATTAATTATATTAAAATTATTTTTGAGAAAAAACGTTTATTGATTTTTTCCTAATACGGTTAAAGAATCAGAATTCTATCTGTGAAACTAGGCTCCCTTATAATGCCGTTTTGTTCTGTGCAGTTGGGTACATACTCTAACTGAGAGAGCTAATCGGTCAATCTCATGTCCAGTTGTTTGGGGAATCGAATCCCAGTGATGATACTACAATATTTTTTCATTCCTTCACTACACGAAGAGTTTTGAAGAGTTTCCAGTGTCTTGCACTCTTCAATCAGTGACCTTGGACCATTATGCAACGAAATTATCATTTACGCAGAAAAAACGTCACACACATAAATTTTCAATGAAAATAAGCATAATGTTTTTCAAAATTTCCTGAATACATAAAATTTTGGTTAGAGAGTAGAATAGGGTACCTATTAAATTGGTGACAAATTTTGTTAAATTCTGCTCAAACCTGCGTTGTGTTTCTGATGTTTGAAAATGTAACTGCAGCATTGTTTCCTTAATTAACATCAATGCTAAATGTTTTGGTACTTTTCGGTTAGCCGGGCGTAACCGAAAAGTAGCCAAAAAATGTACACCTCCACTATCTTTTTTTTTTCTTCAAATTTTTGATTTTATTGATTTTTTAAATGAATAATAAAAATTAAATAAAATAAAAAAATTATATAAAATAGAAAATATTCAATAAAATAAAAAATATTTATTAAAAAAATTTCAATAAAATAAAAAAATTTTTTGAATTTCTTGCGCTTAGCTAACCGAAAAGTAGTAATTCATTAAAGTGTTTTAGTTGTTTCCAAAAGAATTGTAAGAAAAAGTAAAATAAATAACACATATTTGTTACGATCCTTCGCCGAAATAAAATGGGTACCTATTTGTAAACTTTCACCAAAATTTCCCCATAAATTTGTTCAGAGAAATGACTTGATTATTTTCGAGAAGAAAGTAAAAATAAATACTAAAAGTCTGCTAAAAATTCGCAGAAATCTATGAATAGACGGTTATTTATTTACAGTGTGCTTAATCTAGTTGTAAAAAGCTTACTTCGTATACTTGCTATGAAAATTCAAGTTTGTTTCATTTGTGTTTTCAGCTGAAACTTGCTGTAAAACGTCGGTCGCTGGAGAATACGGTTGCTGCCCACAACCCAACGCTGTCTGCTGTTCGGACGGACTTCATTATTGTCCACATGATACGGTCTGCAACCTTGAAGAAGGCCGATGCGATGCCCAAAACGGTCTAGTTCACCCGTTGTTAATTAAGGATCCTCAATCAGACGATATTAAGGCGGAACTGGCGATAGTTGCCAACACAGTCGACATTGTTTACTGTCCAGGAGGTCGTTATTACTGCCATGACGGATCTACTTGCTGTCCTCTACGAAGTGGAGGATACTCATGCTGCCAGTACCAATCTGCTTCGTGCTGTCCCGATAGGATACATTGTTGTCCTTACGGTACTCGATGTGATTCGACCTCCAGACATTGCTACAGAAGAGATCATCTTTATCAAGCTTTTATTAAGACACCGGCTTTTCCTGTGAATTGAATTGTTAATCAATTTGTTAATAGATGGTTTTGTATTGCTTATGGACTTTAAATAAAAATTAAAGATTGTTTTGTGAGCAGAAATTTTGTCAAATTCAATTTCCAACTTTAAGTTCGTCAGTGTTTCGAAAAATTGAGAAATTTGTTTTTTAGAAGGGCCTGGGACAGATTTTTTTAAAAAAATATTTTGAAAAGTGAGTTTTTATTTTTGATTTTTTTTTCATGCTTTTATAATATACTATAGATGACATTAATTTGCAAAAAAATGTTCGAAATTTTTTTGAGAATTAAAAAAAAAAAAAAAAAAACAGCAACAAATGTTTCAAAAAATACACACTCCTAGTTTTTGATATAATTTAAAATTATGCATTAAAAGTAATTATAAATTATTTACTTAAAATAACTATTATTCATACTTTGACTTTAAATAAAAATCTCTGAAACTAAAATTGCATGTTTTTTCGTTTTACTATTTCTTTTACAAAATTTGTAGAGCAAATTTCATGCAATAATTCTCAATTTCCTATCGAAAAATAACAGCATTATATTTAAAACTTCTATATTCCAAATTTCATACAATTGTCTTTCATAGTGTTTTGAGATTTAGGATTTGCCGCAAGTCAAATATATCAAGAAAAATATTCATTGAACCGGAATAATAATAGTAAAACATATGTTTCTTACTATAAAAAATTGCTTCCTTATGATATCAAACTCAACCTACATGGGATTTAAATATCTGATTTCTGCCTGTGCTTATAAAGGGATTTGATAGCAAAANCGTAATGGTATTCTTCTTGCGCTGACGAGAAATAAACTAAAAAAGTATGAAATAAATACATTTTTAATATGCCATGACTTATAATAAATGCTACACTTTTATGCCTTCATATAATTTCCTTACTTTAATAACCGTTACAATGCTCACAAATGCTAATAAGGCATTACTAAATATTCATAACTTTTTGATGACAAAAAAATTTTAATTCATGAAATCATAACATAAAATCAAAAATTGACCGAATGTCAAAAGTACATTAATGAATATATTTTTTAAAACTTTAATGCCGGACATATATTATTTGCAAATTCAATGCTTAAACAAAACAGTACTAGATTATTTAAAAATGGGTAAATTTTTTAATTCAAAATTTGGACCTTTCTCTTATCATTTACTTGCGAAACTTCTGTTTCGTCATTGGTTATAAGAAAGGTTATAAATACGCCAGGGATTGTAAGAAATTTAAGTGATTGGTGACGTCATAATAACGTCGCACAAATGAAGTTTCAATGAAAATAAGCATAATGTTTTTCAAAATTTCCTGAATGCATAAAATTTTGGTTAGAGAGTAGAATAGGGTACCTATTAAGTTGGTGACAAATTTTGTTGAATTCTGCTCAAAAGTTACGTTGTGTTTCTGATGTTTGAAAACATAACTACAGCATTGTTTCCTAAATTAACATCAATGCTAAATGTTTTGGTACTTTTCGGTCAGCCGGGTGTAACCGAAAAGTCGCCAAAAAATATACACCTCCACTATCTTTCCTTTTTTAAATTTTTTGATTTTATTAATTTTTTAAATAAATAAAAATTAAATAAAATAGAAAAATTATATAAAATAGAAGAAATTCAATAAAATAAAAAATATTCAATAGAAAAAAAAATTCAGTAAAATAAAAAAAAATAGTTGAATTTCTTGCGCTTGGCTAACCGTAAGACTAACAACTAAAGCATTAAAGTGCTTCAGTTGTTTTCAAAAGAGTTGTGAAAAAAAGTAAAATAAATAACGCATGTTTGTTACGTTTTGGAGCCAATCTTAGAGTCGAAATATTGCCAAATACCAAAGTTTTCCCATAAACTATTCAGAAAAGAGGCCTGATTATTTTTGTGAAGAAAGTAAAAATAAATACTTAAATAAATAAATACTAAAATCTATGAACAGACGGTTATTTATTTACAGTGTGCTTAATCTAGTTGTAAAAAGCTTACTACGTATACTTCGTATGAAAATTCAAGTTTGTTTCATTTGTGTTTTTAGCTCAGACTTGCTGTGAAACGTCGGTCGCTGGAGAATACGGTTGCTGTCCACAACCCAACGCTGTCTGCTGTTCGGATGGACTTCATTATTGTCCACATGATACGATCTGCAACCTTGAAGAAGGCCGATGCGATGCCAAAAACGGTCTAGTACACCCATTGTTAATTAAGGATCCTCCATCAAACAATATTAAGGCCGAAGTGGTGGAAGTAGCCAACAAAGTCGACATTGTTTACTGTCCGGGAGGTCGTTATTACTGCCATGACGGTTCTACTTGCTGTCCTTTATCAACTGGAGGATACTCATGCTGCCCTTACCAATCTGCTTCGTGCTGTCCCGATAAGATACATTGTTGTCCTTACGGTACTCGATGTGATTCGACCTCCAGACGTTGCTACAGAAGAGATCATCTTTATCAAGCTTTTATTAACACACCGGCTTTTACTGTGAATTGAATTGTTAATCTATTTGTTAATAGATGGTTTTGTATTGCTTATAGACTTCAAATAAAAATTAAAGCTCATTTTGTGGGCAGAAATTTCGTCAAATTCAATTTCCTAGTGTTTAAATTTAGAAATTGATTTTTAAAAGGGCTTGGGACAGATTTTTTTTAAAAAATATTTTCAAAAATGAGATTTTATTTATGATTTTTTTTTGCGTGCTTTTATAGTATAGATAACATGAATTTACAAAAAAATGATCGAAATTTTTTGAGAATTTAAAAAAAAAAAAAAGTAAATGTTAAAAAAAAATCCATGCTCCTAATTTTTGACATAATTTAAGATTATGCATTAGAAGTAATTAAAACTTATTTATGTACAATAACTATTATTCATACTTTGACTTTAAATAAAAATCTCTGAAACTAGAATGGCATGTTTTTTCGTTTTAAAAATTTTTTAAATAAAATTTGTCGAGCAAATTTTATGCAATAATTCTTAATTTCCTATCGAAAAATAGCAGCATTATATTTAAAATTTCTATATTCCAAATTTCATACAATTGTCTTTCATAGTGTTTTGAGATTTAGGATGTGCCATAAGTCAAATATCAAGAAAAATATTCATTGAATCAGAATAATAATCTCTGAATCTAAGAAAATGAAAGATATGTCTGATTCCAATGTTTATTTATAATGTTTTCGGCAAATTTTTAACAGGGCCTGTTGGATTTTTTAAAATCTTAAATCTAATGTTTTTAGTCTAGATTAATAAATTAATAAAAATAATCTTGATTCCTGAAACTATGATAATACAGTCGAACCCCGCTATAGTGAACACGGTTTATAGTGAACTCACGGATATAGTGAGCGAAATGTTCAGTCCCGTGCCTTTGTTAACACGGATAATGTTATTTTTTGAGGATATAGTGAACGAAAAAAGTAAGGAAGTTGGATATAATGAACTTTTTTTCTGTCATCGACTGATTTTTTAAAATTTTTTTGTGTAATAATTTGGAAATTTCTTCTTCAAATTAAATGCATAGACCGATTTTCAAAACCATCTATAGAGGAGAAAGTAGCGATAAGCATTTTTTCTTGTTTGCTTCTTTTATCTCACTTTCCCATCCCTAAGCAAACCAAGCAGATGTTTCCATCCCAAGCAGACGATGCACCTATAAGGTGTCAGTGGGATCAATATGTATTTTCTGTCAGAGGGAATGAGTAATTATTCATTATTGGTCAAAAGGTTGGACACTAATATGTGTTAAAGGCCCTCATTTCAACTCCTTTTTGCTCTCAGTTCAGTTAAAAAAATCCTGCAAACAAGTGTCTCAAATTTAACTATGGCGAGCAGTAAACGTAAAACGTCCTCCATTAAGAATAAAATGGGCATAATCAGAAAAATTGAAAATGGATGCAATCAAGCTGATATTAGCAGGGAATATAAACTATCCAAATCTGAAGTTCGTAACATATGGAAAAATAGGCAATTAATAATTTCTGCTCACGAAAAAAATTTAGAAGCCGGAAAAAAGTTGAGAAAAGCAGATCAGAAGAAAGTTGAAGAAGCATTACTGAAGTGGTTCAACAATCGAAGAAGCCGCGATCTACCAGTATCTGGACAAATGTCGATGAATTTGCAAAGCGATTTTATGAGATTACTTTTATGTGCTTGAATGGCAGGTTAGACAGGTTTAAAAAGCGGAATAACAGAAATTCAGGAAAAATTGTATGAAAATTATATTGGTTGTGTTTTATAGTATAAAGATATGCATTTTTTTCGTACCGATTAGAAATTTTCGGGGTTTGACCATTCCAGGACTTTAAGAACTATTTGAACCTGGACTATTAGAATATGATACTCTGATTCACGAGTAGATCGCAGCTCTATAAAGCTGCTAAACTATCTCCAATTTAAAATTAAATTTCTTTTTTACCGTTTTGAAACCATGCTATCTGTAAATGGTTAAAAAACTGCATAGTTTTGTATTTCTGGTTTTTTAACCATACTAGTTGTAAATGATTTCGAAACCGTGAATGGAAAAAATTTTCTGTACCGTAAACTTTACGGTTAATGATATGATGGAGAGACTGCTGCCGGTTATTTTACCAAAATTGCATAATGATAGTTCTAAGAGTGTACAGGATAATTTGAAGTTAATGTATGGGAAAAAACATATTTAATTTTTATCTCTTATTAATTGAGATAAATATATTTTTCACTATATATATTTTTAATTTATAGATATTTTTGAAAATTAAAAGACAATGGGAGAAACTTTTTAAGATACCTATTTGTCCCGAATGCAATTTATTTTAATTGCTATAAGGTAATTAAATTGAAAACATTAAATTCTGACAAGCATGCCTCAGAAATTTATGAATAAATTTTAATGCGATTTTTGGATTTGAAACGAATCAGTTAATGCATTGTAAAGTGCGCATTTAAGTTTTTTCCGCAAAAACAGCCCAAGCACTATTTAATTGTTTTCGATCGCATGTTCATTTTTTTAAAATTTGTTTCAGAAAAAGAAAATTCTTATTGCAAAGTAAGTAATTTAGTTTGCACTAAGAACCTTAATAAAATAAACATAATAATATAAACATCATTTATTTTGGAACTCACACATTTGAATACAAATTTAGCTCTGTATGAAAACAGAAGTATCCATATCCAAGCTACGATTTTTTTTTTTTTGAATTTATAACGGAAATAATATTAAGACATTTGAATAAAATATATAAATTTCATCATATTAATTTCATCACATTAATAATGTAGCAAAATCAAATTTCAAATCAATTCTAATTAATATTTAATAACTAATGACTTTCCTTTTAATGATTTTAACTTCTCCTATGTCGTGACGAAACTCGACAATGATCCCCAAAGTTTTGATATTGCTTCTTTCTTCATTCGCTTATATATTTATTTGCGTTTAATGTTCTATTAGTTATATTTTTTAAGAAGTATTTCTGAATATCTGCTGCCAGGAACTGGCAATCAGGAGAATGACATGGAGAAATGTTCTAGACATGGGGTATCGTGCCAATGATCATTATGATTTTAAAATATCTGTTTGAAGATCAGTTATTATGGAACACCTTGCATAGCATGAAATAAATTTTAAATTAATTATATGTTTTAAAAATAAGGTTATATATGCATTCTTTTAAGACGCTTAATTGTCATTTAAATCTTCACTGTCTCCCTTTACCCCCTTTTTTTTTTAAAAAAAAAGAGAGAATAAATGGAGAAAAAGATAAAACTTCTTATTTGGCCATTCCTCAGATTATGCACTTGCACTTTTAAATATCCAGCCAAATGAGCTTAATGAACTATAAAATATTGTTGTCGCGTAAAGAATTTGTAATGACGTCATCGTTCATGATCTGTAATATTTTATTCATTAGTTTAATACTTATATGAATTCGAATGGCAACAGTTTATCTGTTCATGTTTTATGGAGAATGTTAAGAATAGAAGTGGATCACTTCATAACTTGTAAATATTGTAATAAAAGTTTATAGAAAATTGGTAAAGAGTTTTACGATGCATTTGACAATTGTGCTTAGTAAACTGTATATAGCATGTCCTGTATATACAATGAACTATTACATATTTTGTTTAATAATCAAACTTAACTGTGAATTTGTTTTCTTAAAAAGACAAATTGCGCTGCAAAATATAAGGCTTAATAAGCTAAATGAGTTTAAAACATGCTGATTAATAAGTCATACTGAGGATTTATTTTTTCTGCTTGTATGCGTTAACAAAACAATTGTTTACATAAAATATATTTTGATTAAACCTCTTCGTCAATTTAATCTCATTCTTCATTTTAATTTCAATTTAAGCCGGCCGATGGTCGAGCGGTTAGCGTGCCTGACTGCGAAGCCAGTGGCTGCGGGTTCGAATCCCGCCCAGGGCATGGATGTTTTTCTCTGTGTGTTGCTCTCTATTGTGTGTAATGTGTGAATGTGGCCCACCCTGTAAAACGGGTATCTGTGGCAGTGTGGCGTGGGTAATGTTGCTCGCCTCCGTGTCTTAGGTTCACAGGTGCCCACTGGGTAATGTTAAATGAGTAACACTTCCGGTATCTTCCTAGGCGAAGAACGTAAAAGATCAGTGCCTGTCGTTAGAATATTTTTTTCAATTTAAAATTGTAAGAAAGCTTTCAATTTGACTCAAGTGAAATTTGATTCAAATAATCTTTCGCGCAAATTTATGACTCATAAATATCTTATAGTTTGAGTCGAGTAGATACTAGATTCCATTTTATGACTAAAAGGTGAAGATATATACTCTCAAAATATTATAGAAAGAATACTTAAAAATAACTAAAAAATAATTAATTGAATTTAAAACAATATTTTTGACTTTATGATTTTATTTACTTCTAAGCTACATATTCCGATGTAAAAATCCTCTTTTCTGCAATTTTTTAAAGCTCTCACAAGAACATGCAGTGTGAAAAGTATGACAAATTATCTTGTTTAGTGAACTTAATTGACTACAAATTTTTCCTATAATAATCTACAATATTCTGCTCAATGAGTAATACGAATTATACAATAAAGTCTCTTGTTTAATAAAGTAGATCTACTATATAATATCTTTTACAGTAAGATACTATATTCTTAATAAACAATGAGAACTATATAATAAATTGCCCTGCTTTTTCGGCTAGATTCACTATAAAATATCTTTTGTAGTAAGTTACAATATTCTTAGTAAACAATATGAACTATACAATGAAATATCCTGTTTAATCAGCTAGATTTTCTATAAAACATGTAAGTTATGCTACATTCTTAGTAAACAATACGAACTACAGAAAAAACTGAAAGCTTAAATCAGTAAAAATAATCAGTTGAAAATATGAATCAGTAAATAATCTTTTTTCTTCTACAAAGTTTA